TTAGAGGAAATAGCAAGTACAAAGGCCCTTTGATGGAAGATAGGTATGGATGGTGTTATTTGGAGGGAAGGGAGAATGTTAGAGATGGATCAGAGAGGGAAAAGAACATCCTGAGTGCTATGCACCATGGGAAGGACTTATGGTCTTATTCTGAGTAAGATAGGAACCCTACTAAGAAGAGAGAAGTACTGTGGTCTGGCTTATGTTTCAAATGAAGATGCAGCTCTTGTGGAGAGGGAAAATTGTAGACAGGTAAGCTGGAAACAGGAAAACCAGTAAGGAGACTTTCAGTTGTTCAGGCAAGAAGTGATAATAGATTAGAGTGATTTGCAATTGGGGTGAGATTCAGGATGCATGTTGATGTAGTGCTGGCAGGATTTGCTGATAGACTAGAGTTTACTATGAGAAAGAGGCATCAATAATACATCAAACTCTTTCTTCTCCACCATTGAAAGAAGGGAGGTAACTTAAATTGGTTTGATAATGACTACATGCTATAGAATGATATGATAACTATAAAATCCATACTTCCAAAGGTCTAATGTCATAAAAATGTATATGATTTGATATTAACAGGAAAAAGCAGGATATAAACTTGTATAAATGGTATAAGGCTACTTTCATGAATATATAGTCATATATACATATATTCATAAGAGGAAAAAAAGGACCAGCCAGGAGTGCACCAAAACGGTAACAGAGTTTTTATATGACAAGGTCATGGGTAATTTTTACTGTCTGTTTCTTATTTTTTCAAAGTTTTTTTTAAGATAACACTGCTTTCATAATTGTAGAGAAAAATATATATTTTAATGAATAATTATCTAAGAAGACTGTAAAGGTAATTGAATGGCCATGCTGTTGAAGAGTCTATGGATTTTAACATCATTATTTGGCTTATATACCTATTTATTTTAAATAACAAAAATTCATAATTAAGTTAATTTAGAATAAATGATTTAGGCAAATTACCACTTTCTGCAGTTTGGAAAAGAAATGGGTCACTAAACACTCCAATACCAGCACTATTTTCAGCAGCAACCTAAAACAGACCAAAAGAATTATGTTTATGCTCTCTAATTAAACAGAATCTGAAATAATAACATTTTGATATTGATTAGTTAAATGACAAAGATATTTTTCCCTTAATTCCTGCAAAACTCCCAAAGTGGAAAGCACACATGGAGCTATTCCATATTTCTATTATCCTTAAGGATATATTTGCAGCATAGTTTGATTCAACAGATTTCATCAATTCCCAATAGAAAAATTAATAGTCAAGTTTTATAGCCAATTAGTAGTATTAATAGTAACAGGTATTTATGGCCAACTTTTATGTACCAGGAAATCTCCTAGAAATTTTACACATCTTATTTTATCCACATAATCAAAGCATGAAGTGTTCTTATCAGCATTTCATAGACAAGGAAACTGGTTAAGAGAAGTCAAGTAACTTGCCTGAGTCTTATAGTAAGTGGTAGAACCAGAATTCCACTGAAGTCATGCTTATTTCTAAAGCTCAACCCTCTTTCCATTATATTCACTTCATGCCAGATACTATGACTATTTCTGTAACAAATATGAAACCATATATATGGTATCTGGCCTTATGGTTTACAATCTAATCAAATACATACTCAAGAAAACAATTTAAAAAGTCTAGTCAGTTAGACTAAGTATTTTGAATTTAAAAGACAGAAAAAATAGATAGAAAAAAAATAGAAAAATTATTTTAAACTCAGATATCCTAATCAAATAGACTAGAATAGGCAGAGAAAATGTCATTATTGAGCTCAAGACTCTTCACTCTTACAAATGCCAAAACTGGAGTCTGAAAACCTTAATTTAAATTGCACTCCACTAATTCTTAAATGAGTAATTGTAGGTAATTTATTGGCCTTATTCTAGGTAACATTTTCCTTCTCTTTAAAATGAGAATAATGATATATCTATGTCATAGAATTGTTCTAAGGACTAAATGAAATAATACCTGTAAAGAACTTAATAGGATTTTCCCCAGATCATGTAAATTTGAGATCTACTTTTGAAGATATCAAACATACTGCACCAAATACTCTTTGGAATTCTGAAATGACTAACATTTATTTGAACAGCTTAAAGGTCACAACAATGATTTAGAAAGTGTAGAATTAAAAGAAGAATAAGGACTTCCCAATAGGCCTGAAATAAGAGAATTCAAAGGAATAACAATTCGAACTCCATAAAAATAGATCTAAGTAGAACCAGCTTTCTGTCTGTAACAGCTTCCTACAACCACATTAAAATTTGAACTTTACATATTACCTTCAATAGTATATTTTAACATATAAACTAATCTAAATATGTACTGTTGACAAAATATATGTATACTATGTCATTTTTATGTGTCAATTAGAAAAGGTCTCCTACTCTTTACCTATGTTTCTGCAATGAAATAACCATCGTGAATCTTTGACATTTGCAAAAATTTCCTTTTAACTGTTCTCATATAGGGGATTCCTACTACTGCGATGCTCTCTAATTCTTACTATGTGCTTTGCTTTCACAAACAAGCATGCTTCCAATAAGGAAACCCCCACACCAGGCAAATTTTTTTTTTCCCCATCATTTCTTACCATCCAGAAAGCCATCTCACTTATGTCTTATCACATACTTATACAGCTTTTATAGATTTTTTTCTCTATATTGAATTATCTAAAAAACTCAAGGAATATATTGATGTTATATTGAAAATAGAAAGGATCAAAAAGATATCTGTATCTTTTACTAAACTCTGAAAATATCACAAATATATCTTAATTGGAAACATTTTCATATGGCATAATTTAGTATTGCTTTTTATATGCTCTTCTTTATTTAATTTTTAATAAGATGTTTGATTTTTGCATATTAAACATTGTAAAGAACTAAACATTTTTATAAACACAAAAGACACAATAAATGTTCAAGAAATACTTATTGAATGGAACTGAATTGAATTTATTGTTCTCTGAGAAGCTGGCTCAATAGAAACTTTCATTCCATTATTTAAATTTTGATAACTGACACACAAATACAACAGGATTAAGGGGAAAATAACAAAGCTAACTTAAAGGTTAATGAAAAAGTAGACTATTTTTTACCTTAAAGCCTAAATTATGTCATTTAAACTAGATTCATTCTTTGAAAAGGTTGTTAAGTTAAATGTTTTTAAAATAAATAAATTACACAAATACATCTAATAATGAAAAAAATTATAACAGTTGTTCAAATTTTAAGAGCCCATGTGGGCACTGAGGTCAGGACTCAGATGATCATTCTTCAATCACTTGGCTGTGTTTGGCTGTAAAGACTTAACCAGGTGGGAAAAAGCTCCCTCATCTTTAAAATGAATGGAATATTTTAATACTGTGTTAATACTAAATACATAATATTTAATACTAAATATTAACAAAAATATTACCTTGATTTCATATGTTGTTCCAGGATTAAGATTAGTAAGAAGAACTTCCAGACTGTCTGGCTTTGTTCTAACTTGTGTGTATTCTGTTTGCATCCATGGACAAACTTCCTTATATTTCACAATATAAGACATAATCCTTCCATTTGGATTAGGGGGTGTATTCCAAGATAGAAGAATTCCAGCAGATCCAACTCTTTCTCCTGCCAGGAAGACTGGAGTTCCCGGTTCTATTTTAAAAAATATGTTGTTAAAAGGTCAAACAATTATTGCATTTTCACAATCATAAATAAGAAAGCTTTTACAAATGTAGACTTTCCAAGTTCCCAAAGACTAATGGTCTCTCAAATGTGACTTTATCTTCCCCTAGACCTTTGCTACCAAAAGAAAAAAAAAAAAAAGATTAAATGCTTTGGGGGATACCAGAAACATTCTTTTATAAGAATGTAAAAAATGGAATGCTACTACATATTACATGCCAAATGCACTTTTGATGCCAGATCATTTTTAAAAGAAACTTATTTGTGCAAAGCTTACACATAAAACTAAGAAAGCCAGAACACAGTCTTACAAACTTAATTATTCTTCCTGAACAAGAGTAGTGAGTCTATTTTCATGGCTCTGTATTATTTAAATATTACCATTAACAGTCTCTCTGGTCAATTTCACAAACAAGTATAATTATCTTTACTCTGAAAGTCAAGAAAGCTAAAGAAGCAGTAGGACACAGGTCCTAAACAGATCACTTTCTTAAGTTTCCATTTTGCTTTAATTACTAACCTGTTTTCATGTATATAAGGCACATAGTGCTAAGGTAAGTATTTCCATCCAATAGACTAACTGTAAATACTTCATGAAAAGTACTTCATAAAAAAAGGAACATATACTTACTTGTTACATTGGTTGTCACTGTTCTACTAACAGGTGAGCTGTATGTTGTAGCAGAAATAGTAGAGATGGTTACATCGTACCTAGTCCCAGGAACAGCTTTGGAAACATCAACCTGGAACACCAAAACCAAATAACTGCATTAAAACTCTTTCTGGAAAACAAGAAAGCTAAAACAATAAATCCATCACAACAATAACAAAATAAAGTTAACATCTCACCCTATAAACTCTGTACTGTTTAATATATTCCAAGTTCCATATTATTGTAAAATATAATAAATTTGTTCTATCACATAACTATTTACCAAGTAACAGATAATAAAAACTTACAAAGCATACAGTGTTATCAAAAACTAAATCACTATTTCAATCCCTCTTGTTTGTTGTCACAAGAAACAACTATTTAAGAGTATTAAGAAATCTGCAACCCATTACTTAACCCTGGTTTTTAAGAGTATGTATGAAATACCTGTGTCTCTGAAGTTCCAATAAAAAGTAAAAGAAAAATGATTAGAAAATCCATCATTATTACATTTTTCAGGCAGTGGAATCACATTGATGGCTCTAGAGAGAAATGTTGCCTGCATTAATGATTTAAAGACAGATCCTCCTGGCAAGTACACAATTAATGAGCCTGGATTACTCAATAGCTCTGCCCTTTCTTTGTTAAACTATTCATGAACCCTTGGATGGCTGGCTGTAGGTTCAGGGTAAGACTTAAGAAAAAAAAGGCATAGACGTTGCTAAGGTAACAGTCCACCCATGCTGAAACTTACACTCATCAACTCAGCATCAGTGTTTTTGTCTTCATTTTATGCTTTTAAAAACTCTCAAAGGAGTAAGTGTTCATGATGTATGAGTTTCATAAAGAACTTTCCTATGAGGACCAAATATAAATACAAGTTGGCTCAGCAAGTATGATAATGAAAACTATACCTGATACTCTCCACCTCCAAGATCTTTGATAGTAACAAAGCCACTGTCAGGAACAAGATCCACATTAAACCCTTCCACATGGCCAGAGGGCAGGCTCCAGTATAGAGAAAAGGAATGTGTGGAAATATTGAAGGCTTTAAGTTTCTCGGGTTTTTCCGGTTCTGATATTGAAAAATAGAGGTTTGAAATTGAGTTATTCTCCTAAATATTCAAAAGAAAAAATGAAAATCAATAATCTGTCAGATTTCAATATAATCACATTGCTCAAAGGCACCAAATCCTCTAAATTATCTCTGATCACACAAAAGTGTTAGGCATCTAAATCTTTAATAATAACTATTTTTTAAGTATAATTATCAGAAATAATATATTAATTTATGTATCTGTTTCTGGGATATTCTTTACCTGCTAAAATATGCTGGTTGCCCAAATTGTTTTATAAACCTTAAGCTCTAATTGAAAACTTGAATCATTTTAAGCAAATTATTTAAATCCAAACTATTGATCCAATTACCTGGATATTTTACAAAGCAGAAGATAATTGGAAAAAAGTATAACTAACATCTGTCCAATTTTTTTTAAAGGGTAAGCATTTCTGATGAATATTTAGTCAGGGGTCTCCTTAAAAGAAAAGCTTTTTTCATGTAGGAAGTGAAATACGATAGCTTCTCAACAATAAGTATTAAAGTTCTAGCCACTTCAACCATATTTTTCTACTTTTACTTCCACTGTTCCCAGGGTCTTGTTTATGCTGCCTGTACCTCCTTGAAGGGAGTTTTCTACATAAGGTTCTTCTGATTGGTTGCCAATGAGTCAGATTTTCACTCTCCCTTATCTTTAGCGCAGATTCCAGACAAACAATATAGGGGGAGGAAGAGAGATTATGAAGCCAAGCATGCCGAAAACATACCTGATAAAGACAAATTTAATACCACTTCCAAAAGAAAGGACTGTGGAATTAAATATTTAACTCTGCTTATCATTTTAAAGCCATCTATCAGAGATGATTTAAAATGGATAAAATAAAAAAATGAAATATATATTTTCTAAAAAAACTGATAGGTCACGTGATATAAAATAGAAACCTTAACAGGTCAACTTCTCATATTTGGGTAGGTGAGAGATACTTTTAGAGTACTCTTTCTTTATCTTCTTTTAAAAAAATTTTTTTTAAGGCTTATAATGCTTTCCTGGTAACTGGCCCTGCTATTGACCAGTTAATTTCCACCATGACACTCAAAGATACAATAAACATTCTCTCAGCATCATCTCCAAATTGTCCATGTAGGGAAAACTATAGTCTCATAATAACTCTTTAGAATATGTAAACCCAAGGTAAAAAGATCAGAGGAATACCCAGTTTGTATGGGTAGAATTCCTTTATTATGCATAGCTGCTGCTGGCATTTTTCCTGGATCATTCTAAACATAGACCTATGCCCTCTGTATTCCCAAGGTTGAGAGAAAAGAGCTTGGTTCTTCTCACCAGCTCATAGTAAAATAGACAAAAATCTAACATGACAGAAGTCCAACCAATTAGTACTCACGCTTACTGATTTATGTGAGGACTAATACTTTGTATTTCCTCCAAGAGCCTAAAAATTAACTAATATCCGTGAAATCTTAGGCAAGAAACTGGAAAAGGACCTGGAATGAAACTTTGGAAGAAGAAAAAAGATAGGAGAAGTAAAGGTCTGCTTACTGGGATGGTGATGAGATAGGATATAGTTTCCTAGACTGTGGGTTAAGATTACACACTGAAGGAGGGTTGGCTAAGGATAAAGCATATCTCACCAAAAAGAGGAAGAATGTATTTGTCTGGAAACCTGCCGATCTGATTGAGTGAGAAGACTGGAAGCTTCCACACAGGTAAAGACTTTTCGAAGCAGAATGAATAGAAGCCCTGGAAGTGGACAGAATTTAGTGTAAGTGAGAAAGGCCAACCTGAGTTTCTGGAATCAAGTAAGAAAGAGAAAGTCTGATGATCATGCCAGCTATCATAAAGATGTTAGCTTTTTCCCCCCTTAAATGCAATGGAAACCTGGAGAATTTGAAGAGGAAATCAATGTGACTTTTTAAAATTATTATTTTAAAAGATTAGTTTGAAATAGTATATGAAAAACATGAGACTTGGAGGAAGCAAAAATGGCAATGGGAGGGCAATTAGTAGGGTACTGTGGTAGTCTGGACAGAGAGGCAGGAGGCTTGCCCTCAGAAAAAGGTAGTGGAGATGAAAAACACTTATGCCATTGTGGAAGAGTGTACAGCCCTGAATATGAGCTGGAAAATTCAATTAACTGAAAGTAAATGCTGTAATAAATACATGATTTGTACCTCATGGAATGTAATCTCTCAAAAGGCAGGAAAATATGAAGCGAAACTATTACTCTCAACCAAATTGTTACTAACCAACAAAAATCAAATTGTGAGATGGATGTGTTTGGGGTTTTAAGAGAATATCACATTGTGTTCAATTTAATTAGGGATAGCAAACAGAATTCTAGGCATAGTTACATATTTTTTTCAGACCAGAATTTCTTGAGCTAATCCTCAGAAACCTAAATCCTCAGAGTTTAATAGATGTTCTATGATTCAGCCACTTTGTCAATAACTTCTTTGTTTAAGTTAAATAGCTTTCTTTATTGCAGGATATCTCAGAGACTTAAATATGCTTAACTGTCTCTTGATTCTATAAAGCAGCAGTGTCCAAAAAATATAATGTGAGCCACATGAAAAAGGTAAAAAGAAACATGTAAAATTAACCCAATAATACATTTTATTTAAACCAATAAATCAAAAACATCATTTTACAGTCAATATAACATTATTAATGAGCCAATTCCCTGTCTTTCATACTGTCTTTGAAATCCTATATCTTTCACACTTATCGCCCAGCTGAATTTGGACTGGCCACATCTTAAAACTCCATAGTCACAGATTGCTTATCACTCTATATTCGACAGTATAGCTTTAAAGAATCTCTCAACTTTTCCCCTTGGTGTTTCGGTAAATTTACCTAAACTGCATTTTGAGAAACTGAAAAAATAAATAAATAAATAAATAAATAAATAAAAGCAGCAATCTAATCCCATGATCAGTGTCTATAAAGGAAAAAAAAAAAAGTTCAAAAGAACTCAGAGGACCTCAAAAACAAAATTCTGGAACAAACTATGGTATATTTACCTTTAAGAAAGAGAGGAAGAGGAGACTCAAAATGGAAGAACAAGCTACATAAGGAACTCCTCAGAAGATTCTGACTCAAAAAGCACACTTACACAAAATGAGAGGAAAATGTTACGTACCTTGGAATACCCACAAAAAAATTGTACATACTTATCAAAACACTATTGAGAAAACAAAAGCCAGCTATTTTAAAATCAAATGGGAAGAGTTAAAAAGTTTCCATTACCATTATTATGAATTTTTATTCATATTTCCTATGTACCAACACTGTATAGAATAAGCTTGGCATATCCCATTTAAATCCTTCCATGACTAAATCATAAGCTGGGCATAATATATACTATCATTGAGGAGATACTCATGCATAAGACATGCAAAATTATCACTAATTATACCAAGTTTATGATACCATCTGTCCTGGGCTAGCACTTTCACACGCTCTATGCAACAGTCATAACCATTCGTAAGTACATACCATTATCATTGCCATTTAAGAAATGAGAAAACTAAGAAACAAAGAATTTAGGCAACTTCACCAATGTCTCGAAGCTAATAGGTAAATGGTAGAGCCAGGATTTAGACCTAGAAGCAAAAGCTTCAGAACTTAAGGTTCAATAATTATGATAACTGCACCTCTCTAACCTATACAAAGTGGCTTACAAATAACAGCAGATCAAGAAATCCCAAATAAATCAATACTTTATAGAGGATTCAAGCAATAGGGAGATCCATAGTTTTACTGTTAAGTCTATTATTTGAAATGGCCCCCAATTTAAAGGGACTCCATCTAAGGCAATACGTAGTTCAGAAATAGGTATAAATTATTAATAAAATAAGCATTCTCTAATAAGTCAGCATCACATTAGGTGCCATAAGAGTCTAAACAAGGAATCATTTTTTTGTACAGGCACTGGTCATGGGCCCTGGAACTGGTTTACTGGGTTTAAATCCTGGCTCTGCCACGTAAGTAAGATTTTAGGCAAAATCCTTAACCTCTCTGTACCTCACTGGCTGCATCAATTTGGAGATAATAATACTGCTACTCTATATACTGTTGTGAGAATAAAATAAGTTAATACACATAACATGCTTAGAAGAGTGGCTTGAACATAGCAAGAGCTTAGTAAATGTAAGCCATGACTAGTAGAAAACCATCACATTGCCTCTTTTTCATTTCTTACTTTTAACCCCCGCTCATGTCAACAGTGCTCTGCACACAATGCCCCCTCCCCCGCAACATTGTTCCATTATTACCACTCTGCAAAAAGCAGGGCGGCAGGATCTATTCCTGCTCCAGAGACAACCCCTCACCCCCCTCCCCGCCCCACCCCACTCCCACCCCGGGGAACCTAGATTGCCATCCTTCCCTATTTCCCTTCCTTATCAACTCACTTCAAATCACTCCTCTCCTCTAACAGTGACTTCCATTACCCACCTATTATCTCTCAAAACCATCTCCTAAACCACACCGCAATCAGAACATCAGGTTCCTAACTATTTCATAAAGTGTTCTCTTTAATTAAAATGACCACTGACAGTCTATATTTTCCATGAAACTTTTCTGACATTGACGTTATTTTGGTTACTTTACCAAATTCTTATTAAGCAAACTCTGTTCCATTTACTGCATAATCTTCTTTACCTGTACATCAGCAAAATATTTGCCATACTTTTTCTCAACCTTTGCTCAGTGATTTGATCTTTCCTTCCAACCACAGACATCAGTGCTTACCATGGACCATTTGTGACTTTGCCAACTTCTGGATTTCTGGAAATGGAATGTGATTACCATGACACTAGTATGTAGTGGGCAGAGGTCAGGGATGCAGATCAACATCCTACCATGCATAATACAGACCCACACAAGAGAGAATCACCCAGCCCAAAATGTCAGTAGTACTGAGGTTTAGAAAACCTGCCACAGACTGAAATTTCTTGAATGGGTCCAGTTTCAATGTGTTTGATTATATACTGGACTTACTGTGACACTCTGAAGAAAAGACATTGAATACATGATTGAACAAATGTGTTTTTTAAGAAATAACAAAGATGTAGAGTATTTATATATAAATAATATTTAAAATGTACAAAGTAGGGCCCCCTGGGTGATTAGTTGGTTAACCATCTGTCTTTGGCTTGGGTCATGATCTCAGGGTCCTGGGATTGAGCCCCATGAAGGGTTTCCTGCTCAGTGGGAAGTCTTCTTCTCTCTCTCTCTCTCCCTCTCCTTCTGCCCCTCCCCACCACTCATGTGCTCTCTCTCTCTCTCAAATAAATAAAATTTTTAAAAATTAAAAAATAAAATGAACAAAGCATAATAGAAAGTTTAAGAGTAATAGGAGTCTCAAAGATCATGTACTCCAAATTACACTGAAACATAAAGCCAAAGATATTAGGTAACAAACAATAACAGTTAATAAGTATCAAATCCAGGAGTAAAGCTGATGAATGAATTCTAAACACTTTGCTTGTTTTTCATTGTCACATACATATCACATTTAGGAAAACAATAGTGTATTTAGTATGCAGAATAACAACACTCCAAGGTGCCCACATGCTAACCCCTGAAGCCTTGTAATATGTTATGTTACATGGCAATAGGGGCTTTAGATGTAACTAAGATTACAGACTTTAAAACAGAGAAATGAACCTAGATTATTCAGGTAGGCCCAATCTAAACACACAGGCCCTTAAAAGTGAAAGGAAGAATAGTCACATGTGACAGGAAAAAAAAGGTAGGAGAGAGTTTAAGCATGGGAGCACTTCAACCTTCTTTGTTGGCTTTGGAGATGGAAGACAAGGATTACAAACCAAGGAATGAGGCTTCCTCTAGAGCTGGCATCAATTCTCGGCTGCCAGCAAGGACATGGTCAAGGAACTGAATTTTGCAAAGAATCTAAATGAGCAAAGAACTGCGTTTCCTCTGGAAATTCTAAAAAGAACACAACCTTCCAAACACCTTGACTTTAGACTGGTAAGATCTGTGTTGAATGTATGACCTACAGAATTAGGACATAATAAATTTTTTGTTGGTTCATGCCACTGAGCTTAAGGCAATTTGTTACAACAGCAGTTAGAGGCAAATACTATGTGTAAAAGCCACATCACAAATGTCCACAGACTGAGTTATCATCGCATGTCTGCTTTGGATTGTGTTGAATCCACAGTCTTAAAGATTACTTAAGAACAATCTCATAAGTTATTGCTGTGATTGTGTTCTTTTTTCAAAAATTTAAAATATTGATAGGTTTCACAGCTTCATTTGGATTTTAAAATGATGCTTTGTTCAGAATATGATTTTTTTCATATATACAAACAACAAAATATTACAGTATTGAATTGCTTATAATTCCACAAATATGCCATTATTCATTTCACCTCCGTAATTCTGCATAGGTTATTCCCTCTCTCTGTGAGTCTTCCTCCTCTCACACTCCACATGCCCTCTGGTCAAATTAAGAAATGCCTTACACTTTACAGTCATTATCAGGTTCAAAGAACCTTCTCCATCCCTGCCATGGAGCTAGTCTTTTCCTTTTCTATGCAACCAGAATAAGTTTGAACTTATTTCCATTGTTTCTCCTATTAATTTGACTTATACTATATGTTCCTTTATGCTTCCATTCTTTACTACTCTCTGTACATTCTAAGACTATGTTTTTTCACGTGTATATCATGTAGTAGGACACAAAAAACAATGAGTAAGTTTTTAGGAGAATGGATGATCCCCAAATCATCCACCTACTTTCACTAGCTGGACCTCTAATTTGATGTGACACTCAAGTGTAATATTAGCTACATTTCCTGAGCACTGACCAAGCACCAGAAACTATTTTATACAATTTGCATTTTATCTATATTATTTCAAAAAATGCACAGACTATCCCAATAAAATGAATATTTTACCCTCATTTTATAAATTTTAAAATTAAAAAAAATGCACTGAAATTTTATCTTGAACAATATAATATGTAACACAAATGTGAATTTTTTTTAAATATCAATAAGAATATGTATACCTGTAACAACTCTGATAAATGTGCCAGGTCCCTCAACATTGCCTCTCACTCTGTGTACGACGATGTTATATATTCCACTAGGAGTCAGATCTGTAACTGTGTGTTCTGGAATAATTCCCCAAATAAGATACTCGTCTGCAAATGTTCTGTTTGATACATAAATCTTGTACTGAGTGAAGTTGGTCTCTGTTGGATTCCACATTAAATGTGCAGAAATAGTATTCACAGCTTTTAATGTTAAGCCACATATCCTAGATGGTTCTATTGAAAAGGCAAATTATGTATAAGTTAAAAGGCGCGCGCGCACACACACACATATATACACAAGGCAAAATGAATAATATAATTTAATCATCTAGGTACCAATCCTTAAATTTTTTCATGTATAACAGCTTCCATGTTCAGCTCTGCAAATAGAGAAACAGGATATTATATATATTTGAGCTTCAATTTAAGTGACTCATTAATATCTTCCCTAGTTCCCAAATGTCTTTCCTTAATCAATCATAAATCAAGTCACTAGTAATTCCTGTAGACTTGTGCCTCCTGAGTGCTTGTAACAAGAAGTATCCTTATACCATATAATCCCAGATCTGTTAGCTACCACCAGAGGTTAGCTAGATGTTGAATAAAAATGAAACAGAACAATGGAGTGCCTGGGTGGTTCAGTCAGTTAAAGGATCTGACCTTTGATTTCAGCTCAGGTCATGACCTCAGGGTTTTGCGATAAAGCTCTGTTGGGCTCCCTGCTGGGTATGGAGCCTGCTTAAGATTCTTTCTCTCCCTCTCCCTCTGTCCCTTCTCCCTCGTGCTCTCTACAAAGAAAAAATAAAAGAAAAAAGAAAGGAAAAGAAAGGGAAAGGGAAAGGAAAGAGAGGGGAGGGGAAGGCAAGGCAAGGCAGAAAGAAACTGAACAAATAAGTTAGAGAGTGAATAAGGGTCAGAAGTAAGGATAATTTCGAACAGGTTCTGGTTACATCAAAGTTTTTAGCATTCCTATATTGCTACATTTTTAATACATTTGTCAAAGGAAGTAATGTTGTTTCTTGTACTACCAATTCATTTGCACTGAGAGGGGATCCTGTAGGCCTCACAGACTTTCATAAGAATTATTGGTAAGATACTATTATTCCACCACATCCAAAATATTATTAAACTGATTTATAGTAAATTTACAAACATCAGGGAGGAGAAAATTTCTATCAAACCCCTTCCTCAGTAGAAAATGAATTGTGTTTATATTATTGTGGCATCCTATATATAGTGTTTGTGTGTATACACAAACATATATACATGTATGCACACATATGTATTTCATATATGCGATAGATAATACACACACTTATATATACATGTTGGCTTCATATTATTAAGAAAAAAATCTAGGTACTTCTCAATGCATTTAGTCATACAAAGATTTGTTTGTTGTTCATATAGTTTTTGAGAATTATCTTAACCATATTTTTATGGTCATAATTTTCCTTCATTATCAGGCTTTATGTTTTAAAATAGCTATATTTATGCTAAGCCAAAAACACTTTAAGTTCTTATAAAACTATAAGGCAAAGAATTTATTTATGATATAACCTTACTTGTAGCCACTTTCGTCATTACAGATACACTGTAATCTCTGCCTCTAACTGTCTTCATGTCCAACATGTAGTCCACCCCTGGAATCAAATTCTTTACTTTGGCTTTGTTGTCATCCACAATTATTTTAAATGTCTTTTCCTTTCTAGATGTCATACAAAAGGATATCTAGAGAAAGAGAGAAATTTATGCTTTTAATTGTTAAAAAATAATTCAGTTAGCAACAACTCTGTATCAGTCAAATTCACAGACATTAATACTGCAAAGAAGGGGTTGTGATTCTTCCTGTCTTCATCAAGGAGTTATTTGGGGCCAGTTGATACTGAATAACTTAGTGAAGTTCCCATAGTTAATAAGCACAATTGTCTGACTCAGAAGTTTATGCACTAAAACACAAATAGTCTCAAATTGTTTTTAAATTTCATACACACACACAGATATCCATGCGTACATAGATATATATGTACATATGTATATACAAATATATATAAATGAAGTATTTAAAATATATATCTGTGTACATATGTGTGTATATATGTATATATTCTGACTTATATGTGGATATGTGTATAATGATGTACTGCATAATGAATTGGACTTTTCATGTTGGTCACCTGAAAACAAAACATATTGTGTAAAAATCCACTCTCCCAACTCCATGTAAGCTGAATACTAGAGGAGGAAAAAGCAGGAATCACTGGAGTCGCAAGTTTCTGACCTAGTAAAGAAGACCATGGCTTTTCCCTGGCTTCCCAAGGTATTGTAAACAAGGGGCTTCTGCCCACACCCCACACTGCAGGTAAATGAGAATGACATGTATCACTACTATAAATTGAGGGTGCCTACTAGAAAGAATGACACCTCCCACTTGGATATGTACTTAGCAGACCTGCTGCTCATGTTCCCAACTGGTCAGAGAAAAAGGAAATTGGTAAGAAAGAATATTGCAAAAAAAGAGCCATGGAACAATTCGTACACCCACTTCTGCCCTGACAAATATGACAATGTCCTATGAATCAAGTACAAGCACAGGGAGTAGTCAGTCCTAAACCATCTTCCCAGTACTCCACTAGGAAAGCTGACCCCTGGACAGAGACCCTGGCAGCACAAAGCAGTGGGATATAATGTCAGGGTTAGAGACAGGGTTGAGAGGAGATGCAAAAGGTTGAGACTGAGAGCTGGGTCAATCATGTCAAGGAAATGGACAATGAGGACAAGCCCCAGGGCTCTCCAGAGCACTCACACATGTGCCTCAGGAGGGAAACAGGATTTGGAGGACTGTTAAATAGACTGTAATACATTCAGTGTTAGTGGAGTCAAACAAAAACAAAGCAGCAAGAGAGAGAACGACAAAAATACACACCCGGGATAGAGAATGCACTCCAATGATTATTAAATGGATGCATGACAAATGTCATGCTCCATGCCAGGCCATCTTTCATTGTGACCTGAGCCAATCAATTATTCATTAAAGCTCTGAGAACTGGCATTGCCTTTAGAAATTTTCAGTCAAATAACCTGATAATTCTAATACCTTGAAGATTTATTGAGTCATTAAAATTGACTCAATAAAGATTGCTATAACAATCTTTACTCTTCTTCACTCTATATTTCATGTTTGTAAAACAGAAAGATGTATCTAAATGAAAATAATGACATTAATTTTATAAATTATTTAAACTTTATGATGCTTTAAAAAGCAATTGTTATGTGGTAGGAATCAGAGAAACAAATTTCCGAGGTAGACATGTTTATCACTGTCTTGTGGGAAGAGTGTTTTGTTACTGAGAAAGATAATCATGAGGTCTGGATGCATATCATTGTTTATTGATTTATAAGGTGTCACTGGCAATTACCTTGCTTGTCTGGCATATGGAAAGGCAGGAGGAGTGAGGAGAATGCTGAAGACTTCCAGGACAAAAAGGATGGTAGGAGAAGGTACTTTGTAATAACAGAATATAATCTTAATGGAGTGCTAAATTTGAACATATGAAGAGTTACATTAAGGCATTGATGAATGGATAGAAAGAAAAGAAACAGTCTGTGGTGATCTCAGGTAAAATATATAAATTCTTAAAATCCAGTTTGAAGGATAGAGATTTGTTTCCCAAAGTATGGGGACTACGCATCTAACAAAAACCAATTGAAAAAAAAAATGTAATTCTCGCTTTATTTCCACTTTTAAAGCATAGTTTGAAGATCTGGGATGATTAATTTTAAATGATTAGGTAAATGATCCCAATTATGCAATTACACTGTGCTAAGCAAACAGGATACTATTGCTTAATTCATTAAAATTTAACAAATAATCTCATTGGTTGAGAATGACTAGGATAACCATTAGTGATGTAACATAGTTGAAAAATAATCTGAATCCTAAATATTAACATAAATAATAAATAAGTTTCATTTATTAGTATATACATAATTTACAGTCTCTGGGGAAAAAGTGTTCATACAAAAATAGGAAAAATTAACTCTAGAGTTATATATTTCATCTGACAATAAATAATTTTATGGCCTCAGTTAACCCCAAAGAAAGATCTTTTTTTTTTTTTTTTTTTTTTTTTTGGCATTTGCCTTGAAAAATGAGAATTAGTACAGACAGGTAAGGGTAAAATAAAATGTGAACTTTTTACAATTAATATTAAAAATGTTTAGGATTTTCACCTACACTGAATATAAAAATGAATCAAATAATTTCAGAAAGAATAGGATTTTCAATGAATGATTTATAAGGAGGCTCCTATCATTGAATGACATTTAAAAATAACAAATAGAATGCTCACTCATGACCTTGTGAACCTGCTCATGTGGAATAATTTCTTTCCCATGAATGTGAAGCCTACTAAAAGTGCATCTCAAGTTCTACACTTTCCTGATACTATATTCAGTATTGATATCTTCTCTCCATAATTATCCCAGTCATATATGGGGAAACAATGTTATGTTTTGCTTATTTATCAAACATTTATTGAGCTTCTTATTCAGGGTAAACATTAGTATAGGCACTAGGTATAATTGGGATAAAGAAGACAGAAAAGACATCTGATTGTAGGGAAGTTACCGTCTAGCAGTAGCACCTAACAACAAGCAAACTCAATAAATAAATGAATGAGATAACTCAGCTACCTCAGGGAACAGTTCTGTTTAGATCAAAGAACAGTTTTGTTTAGATTACACAATCAGAAAAGGAGATGGGAAGATAATATTTGAGATTAGAATTTAGTAACAGGAGAAAGACAACCAAAACTGAAAGCAAGATATCCATGCAAAATGAATGTCAAGGGGAAAACCTTGTAATGGCATGCTAGAGGAGTAGAAAGAAAGTCACATATGGTTGTACCATAGTAACTATGTAGACAGGATAGTTAGATGAAGGTCCAATCCCATAAGGTCTTGGAAACCATGGCAGGGAGTTTAGTTTTTATTTGAAGGGCAATGGAAATCTACCAGAAGATGGTAAACTAATGAGAGAAACTATGTTTTTAATAGCTCTCTCTTTCTCTGGCTGTTATATGCAAAGTGGATTATAAGGGAATCAAGAATGGAAACAGAGACCAGTTGGGATGTGAGAAGCTACCATCTGTCACCTAGACTGCTGTCTTGGTAAGAAGTTATAGTGACTAGGACATGAGAGGTGCAGTGGTGATGGAGAGAAATAGACACACCGACAATCTGTTTTAGAGGTATAAATGCCAGAACTAGCTGATGGATTGAAGGAGGAGACGATGGCAAAAACTGGGCAGTGATTTAAGGACAGTAGCCTTTCCTGAGCTGACAGAGATTGGAAGGAGAAGAGATAGGGTCACAAGAGAGAGGAAGAGCATTGTAAGCCATGGCAGGAGATTTTAAACCCAAGAATGATACATATTTTACTTCCAGGAGAGAGAATTCTGATTGTTGTGTGGCAAGGGAGGGGGTAAAGAGATTCACATCAAAATTAAGCTTCTTTTAGGGCGCCTAGGTGGCTCAGTGGGTTGAGCCTCTGCCTTCAGCTCAGGTCATGATCTCAGGGTCCTGGGATCAAGCCCCGCATCGGGCTCTCTGCTCAGCAGTGAGCCTGCTTCCTCCTCTCTCTGCCTGCCTCTCTGCCTACTTGTGATCTCTCTCTCTCTGTCAAATAAAAAAAAAAAAAATCTTAAAAAAAAAATTAAGCTTCTTTGGGCAACCTAGGTGGCTCAGTCAGTTGGGCATCTGCCTTTGGCTTGGGTTTTGATCCCAGGGTCCAGGGACTGAGTCCTGGATCTGGCTCCTTGCTTGGCAGGGAGCCTGCTTCTCTCTCTCATCTACCCACCACTCCCCTGATTGTGCTCTCTCTCTCTCTACCAAATAAATAAATAAATATAATTTTTTTAGAAGATTGAAGATTGATGAGAATTAACCCATACTTACATTATCAAATAATCTATGACAAAGAAGGCAAGAATACAATGAAGAGAGTATCTTCAATAAGTGGTGCTGGATAAACTAGACAGATAATACAAAACAACAACAACAACAACAACAACAACAACAAAACAAAACAAAAGGAACTGAATGACTTTCTTATGCTATACACAAAAATAAACTCAAAATGGATTAAAAAACCGAAATATGAAACCTGAAACCATAAAACTCCTAGAAAAAAACATAGGTATAGTGATTTCTTTGACATCAGCCATAGAAACATCTTTCTAGATATGTCCCCTCAGGCAAGGGACACAAAAGTCAAAATAAACTACTGGTACTACACCAAAATATCTCAAAGTATTTTTTATTTCTCCCCTGATTTCTTCATTGACTCACTTATAGTTCAGTAGCATGTTGTTTAATCTCTATATATTTGTGACTTTTCCAGCTTTTTTCCTATAACTGAGTTATAGTTTCATACCATTGTGGTCAAAAAAGATGCTTATAGGATTTCAGTCTTTTTATAGAGATTAGTTTTGTGGCCAACATGTGATCTATCTTGGAGAATATTTCATGTGCACTTAAGATGAATGTATATTCTACTGTCTTTGGATGGGATAGTCTGTATTTACCTATTGACTCTGTCTGGTCCAATGTGTCATTTAAAGCTGATTTTTCTTTACTGATTTTCTATCTGGAGGATCTGTCCATTGATGTAAGTGTGGTATTATTGTATCTATCTATCTATCTATTGTATCTATCTATTGTATCTACTA